GAGACCCTTAAAGTTGGGGTTCAACCTTTATAGGGTAATTGGGTAAATAAAGTGCAGAAAAGTCAAAATTTACCAATCATTTGAATCCAAACTATCACATCGATTTAAGATAAATCATTAAATGAATATTTCATGCATCTATGGTCACCATTTAACCTTGCGATTGTCATGAGGTGAAAAGGATTAAGTGCGTCTCTAAAGCACTACAATCTGGCTAAGTGACTCGCATTCGGCATTAAGCCAACAGTTGATGAGTTAAAAATTAGATTTTTAGTAAATTTTGATAAAAATTGATGAAGAGGATAATAAAAAAAATTTCGTTGAAATTATGCATAAATAAGTAAATCACATAGAAATAATTTAGCCCGAGGTTGCCCCCTCCCTCCGCCCCTGCATGGTATCATAGGAAAAACACCGTAGAGGTGAAAAAAAAAATGAAGATGTCAGTCTAATTTAAAGAAACAATGAGACAGCAACAACATTAAAACAAGAGACAAAGACACAAATTAAAAACAAAAAAGGAGAAAAAAAAATCATATGATTTCAAAATGGTCCTTTCATTAATGAGATAGAGAAAAAGAGTCCCTCTTCCACACATAATTGTACTCTTCACCCTTATAAAATAAACTTTTTTTTTTTTTTTGGTATGCTTTAATGAAAAAGCTACAATATTTGGTGCATGAATTAATCTACTTGTACAGTAATGGTTGATCGGATTTGTTAATAATGTTTGATGTAGCAAAATTTGGACAGTTGATTTAAAAACAATTATTGAAATTTTTTGAAATTGATGAATAAGATGATGCCAAATCACAGTGTCAAAATTGACATTCTTGAGCAGATTGAAAGGGATTCACAAGCTTGGGAAGAATAAAAAGATTCTTTGCATTATAAGAAAACCTATAAGAAAAGTTTCAATAAGGATTGTCTATTTAAATCATAACATTTCATACTCAAGTCACTTGAATCATCACACCTCAGTGTTCAAGGTGGTACGAGAGAGAACTATACTTGGTGTGTAATGTTGAAGTATCATGATTTGGGTGGCTCAAGATCTGACGTATCGTCCTAACAGGATATACATATAATCGTCACACCGAAACTTCTATCATAAAAAATGGGTAGTTAAATTATGGAATATCCATTGAATCTTCTAAATCTATGCGATTTGCAACAATTCACTCTCCAATTTAAGTTTTAGACCATAGATGTCTACAACCTTATAAGGTTGTAGTAAATTGGTTTCTAATGTGCAGTTTTTGTTTACTTAGACCATTAAAAAGGCCGTTGAGTTACACGACTTTACTTACAACAAAATTTCACGCAAGTTATCGAACATTATTTTGTTATAAAATAATGGTGATTATATTCAATTTTTTATTTCAATGTGGTCATTTAATTAAACCGACGTTTGTTCAACTAGAAAAACGGAGTAAAATTAAAATTAAAGTCAACAATAAAATTTTAACAACACTTTTCAATTCATGGGATCCATAACTTTTCAATCATACATTCCATAACTTATTAAAGATCTGATTTTTATCTAAACCGAATAGTGACTATAATTATTAATTTAACTTGAAAGACCTCTTCGTCGGTGTCATATCAGATTGCTGTCATTCACATCACTGATCATTTTAATCAAGCAACATAATTGAAACAAAAAAAATCAATTCAAATACACGTGAAAGTTAGATGTTCACACGAGTGAACATGTAAATTTTAGCAATGGTTTGCCACATGATGAAGAATAAATATATCTGATCAGTGGCTGAGGATTTGGCTTGGAGGAAAAATAATATAAAAATGGCACATGATCAGAACATTTACTTGCTAGTGTTAGAATTGATCTTGTGTGAGAGACAAATAGAAAATTTAGTGATTGGGAGATAGTGGGCGGGTGTGAGTGGCTTTGAAATCATATTGGAAATACACTGGTTTCGAGAACGTGCCATGTTGTCCCTTACTTCCTGAGCCATTAAATATTTTAATTGGTTCTTGTTTGTACATGGGAGGTCACATGATAGAAAGGGGTTGGGTTGGGTTGGGTTGGGTACAAGGGAGCGTGGATATGGTAATAATTCCTTTAACTTTGGATAGGATTAAGATAAGCTAAGTTATAAGTAAAGAAGCTCATTTTTGACAATTATTATTTTCAAACTCTTTTTTTCTACATGTTTATTTTCAATAAAACATTCACACAATAAAATATTATGTAATTAAACACAATCTTTTCCTACCTTTTAATCACACATTTTTCTTAAAAATCACGATTCAAAACTCTATTTTCCCATATAATAATTGTCAAACAGGGGCTAATTAGGTATCAATACAAATTTTTTTATTGGTCAAATAATGTAGAGTTGACTTTTTACTTAAAAGTGAAAGATGATATTTCTAAACGCTTGTTTGATAAAAAAATTTTTTTGAAATATATGGTTAAAAATTAGTGTACGAGAGAAGTGATTCTAAGAAAAAATACCTTCATCTTTCTACTTAAAAAAGGTCGAATTTGGAAAAGTTAAAGCGATTTTAAAACATAAAGAAAAGTAATGTTTCACAAACCTTACCCATTCGTGCGAGCCCAAGAAACAGACATAAAAAGTAGATAATGCTATGACTTTGATTGAGGTGATCCCTGATTATGGCCTCACTAATCTTAATTAATACTTTTGTCATTGGTTTATACTTTGATTGCAATTAATTAGCAAAATACCAACGTGCAATATGTCACCCAGTTTTCTTCCAAATGATATTTACCCTCCTAATGAAAATCAGATAGATCCCGTTAAAAAGGACTTCTGTTTTTTCTTTTTCTTCTTCTGGTATTCTGGTAAAAAAATTCCCCAGGAAGCAACCTTTTTTTTTTTTTTTTTTTTTTTTGTTCAAAAATCCTACCAAACCCGATAGACGAATTTATAAATATATTTTATGTACTTTGTTCCACTTGATATTCATGAAAAATGAATGGGTACTGTCACTTTTTTCTTTAACTTAATCATCTTTTTCGAATGGATAACAATCCTTTAGAAAGTTCTCGCTTTTTGCTCGACAATTTGTTATTGCTACGTTCTTTTATTAGAACACTGAACCTACACTATCCCTTTCAAATCAGTTATCTATAAAAACAAGGCTTAGATTTAATCTGGCTTAAAGTCATTATTTGTGGTCAAATTATGATGGCCGCTCTCATAATTTTTCCTTAATTTCCGGGTTTGAAGTCCTATAAATCCCACTTTCCCCAATTATTTAAGAGAGATGATGATTGTACTTCCAATTATTTCCTCCTTAACTTTTTACCTGAAGCCGGGATTTAAACTTGGATTGACTCATAATTTCTTGGTCAATATATGCCCCCTTTTAGCCCACATTTTTGTCAAATTTTAATGGTTGGATAGCTTTTTTTGAAAAATGTGTAGTTTAAAAAGAATGAAGAGTTTTTAATTTGTGTGTAATATTATTTTATGAAAGATTATATGGTTGAAAGTAAGAGAGAGAGAAAAATGAGAATGGGAATGGGGGCCAAACATGGGCATATTAAGCCATGTTTGGTTTTAACAAAAATTAAACTTTTAGTAAATTTTGATAAAAGTTACTCAAGTGTGTGGTTGAAAAATTGGTGAAAGTTGTGAATTCCATAAAATTTATGATTAAAAATGGATTTGAATAAAAAGAAAAAGATAAAAAAGAATGAGGACCAAAAATGAACTAAGAAAACAAAAAATGTTAGAATGTACATGTAGGTACAGGCCACCTATACTTGGCCCAAAATAGGCCGGGAACGTGGGTTAGGCTTCAAACAAACTGAAGATAAAGGGTAAGGAAGAATGAGGAATTATCAAGGGAAAATTGCAGCAACGGTCCCTAACCTTTTCATTTTTTGTAAACTTTACCCTAACCTTCATTTGTGTCGACGGAGGTTCCTAACCTTTCATAAACATGCACCTGAGGTTCATTTGAATAGAAACCGTCCAAAACACCGCCAATTAATCGAAAAAATTAAGGAATCTACATCCAATAAAACTGTCCAAAACACCATCCAGAAACACCGTCCGAAAATGTATCAATATCCAATAAAACCATCACGGTAGCTGATTTCTTGAAGTTTTTTTGGTCAACTGACAAAATTTTGGACGATTTTTGTCCAGATGAATCTGATGTGCATATTTATGAAAGGTTATGAACCTTCGCTGACACAAAATGAAGGTTAGAATAAAGTTTGTAGAAAACGAAAAGGTGAAGAATCACTATTACAATTTTCCCAATTATCAAAGACCACAAAAGCCTCAACTCTAACTTGTTAAACCACACCGGGCCAACAACGTGCAAGAAATGTGTAATTTCCCCTAAATATAAAATTAATATCAGTCGAAACTTACCTATAATATATTTATATTAAAATATCACGTCAAAAGAGAATCATTTTTTAGACACAATTTTAACCCTCTTACAATTCAATTATCTTTTCGTTTTTCAATATGTAATAAATACTATATAATTATTATCGTTTATGAAATTTCTCTTATTAATTCTCAATTAATTAATATTCACATTAATATAGATTCAATGAATTTTCACTTGATAAATTTTGATTTATATGAATCTAAAGTTATTACAGATGAATTTATTCATATTGATGTATCTAGAAATTTTAATGAATATTTAAATTTATGTATTAATAGTTAATTTTTATGTATCAAATGTAATATAAAAAGATTGTTCATTTATGGTATTTCATCATTACAAAAAATTTAAATCAAAAAAATTGAGTTTTAAAAGTACAATTTTCTTCTCTTAAATTTCTATGCTAAATTTAATTTTCTTTAATTTATCCGAAACTCATCAAATCTTTCAACAAATTAGTATCAAATATTACTTTTACATTACTTATGAAGTATTTTAGAATAACGTGCAATGCACGTTCAACTTTGACTATTTGTCCCTAAACCTAAAAATAGAACAACCTTGCTATAGGTACATGGATTTAGATCCCAGTGAGCATTCAAAAATCTGGAAAAAAATTTCTGTACTTGAAGAATTTTTGAAAATAGAACTTAATTGAAGGATTAAATAATACACACGCACCAACCTGATCTAAGTGCACTAGAGCCCTCTTTCTCTGCAAATGCAAACTATCTAAGGCAAATGGTTGTTTTGGGATATTATCCAATCTTTACATTTTGGAAGATTTTCCTATAGGCTAACAGAGCAGTAACAGAGCAGTAAACTTCAAAGACGTTTCATAGTACACTAACGTTTGTGCTATCCTTCTTAGCGGAGAGCCTTGCACTTCAAAGGTGGAAGAGTGGATAAAAAGGGGCTGTTTTAAGCACATGCACAAACCTACAAATGCACCTAGTAGAGGATCTGCACCTTTCAAAGAAGTTTGTCTTCTGCCATCTTCAAATGCCAACACTATTATAGTCAGGATTCCAATATATGCAAAATCTTGAGATTGAATTTCATCAAGACATTTCATTCACTTGAATGCAAGTGTTTCTATTTAATTGAGTTGTAAAACCAGTGGAAATCAAGGACAATTTTGGTGATATTCAGCTGTCCATACCAAAATATGTTTCTATGATGCATGAACAATCATAGAGAGGTGTCATCATGGAGGAGCAAAAGAACAATTACAGCTATTACAACGTTAAAGTCACCTACCAAAGCATCTCAACAATGAAGAAGTCAAAGAGGACAAAATAAATTTCAATCCAGCAGATCCTCCAGGAAAGTAAGAAATAGCGTAGTATGCCAGTGCCAGGACCTACAACTCAAAGGACGTCACGAGATCACATTAATATCTGGTACCGTTGCATTCATCTCAACGAAGGAATTTGAGTTTATTCAGAACAAATATATGAGAAATCAATAGTTGACATTCTAACTGCTCAATAGCCATAAATTTGAAGAACATTATATAAATTAATCAAAATAACATATAATAAGTCTGAATACCTGAATCACTGAAAAGAGCACAGTCAGAATATAGCTATGGAGCACCATAGAAACGTAAATGGTTCCCATCATGCTGCCTATGAATGCCAATGTAAAGGGGAGTCTCTGGTAAGACAATGGGAAGAGAAGATAAGAGAATAGAATGGGATATCGGACCTCCAATACAAATGAGAAAGTAATTTGAGTACCTCCTTCGATGACATATGGGCAAACTGATTAGTCAGACCTCTAAGGGCAAAGAATGACCCAATAATGAAGGAGCACCCAACAGTAAAACAGATGGCAAATTTCTGAGGCACCACTACGATGACCGGAAGAAATAAAGTAAATGCAATAAACAGAAAGAAGACTCCACTTGCCAGGAGTAAGCCAAAGTACATGAGTGCTTTTCCTGATGGGATATTACTACTGGCAGACTGAAAATTTCCTGGTATATCTCTCACTCCTTTCGAAACCCTGATATTTTTTTAACAATAAAATATTATGAAGAAACTGTCCAAGCAGCCTACAAATTCACATTTACAGAAAGAAAATCAACTAGTGAATATCATCATTGGAGATAAGAGAAGACGTTTTGCAATACTAAGGTTTGGAATTTCAGGTTATGAGTTATATGAGTTCTTACGTAAGCTTGCATATCCGAAAGCCTATCCAACACCCAGATCACATTGCTTACTAAGACCGTGGAATCTCAAAAGATGTTAGGTTGCATTTGGCCTCCGTGCAATGGAGGTCTCATAACTGGAATAAGAGACGGCACGGTTCTAATTGGATTTATTTTCCTCTAGATTCAAATTTTGAGGTCTTAACTCCAAGGTCTCAAATGTAATGTTGTTGGATTTCAGAACAAACAGTACACTCTTCAAGATTGCCTATTATTCTACCCTGTCGGCCACCTCCAAGCTATTCTGAAAGAGAGTACTCTAGCACAAACATAATCTACCCAATTCTAAGGTTTCACTCCTTTCCTGTCCACTACACCACTCTAGCATTTGCTTTGTACAATAAATCCTCAAAAAGTTTTAGACTGATACTAGACATCCACCAGCCCATATATCAATGTTATATAAAATAAAATTATTTTTTATTAACTGCTATTATGCCCCCCGTTTGGCACCCATTATATTCCATTTCATTTTTCTTTTTCCTATTTTCAACCACACGATTTTTTATAAAATAATATTACACGTAAACCGAAATTTTTTTCTTCTTTTTCAACCACTCATTTAAAAAAAAAAAAAAA